TGATGTGACCTGATTAGAAATTAAAAAGAAAAGCAAACTTTCTGCGTAGTCTGTGAAAAACCCTAAAGAACAAGGCCAGATTCATTTGTTTGTATACAAGTGAAAAACATGACCAATGCTTGACAACTCAAGTATTTCTGGAGATAGTTCCATGCCAAACTCTGGAAAATCATATACCTTAATCCCTGCTTTTTAAAAGAAAGCAAATCACCTATAATGTTATGATTTACCACAGACAATGAAATGTCCTAGGTTCTACTGCATTCTTTCAAAGTTCAAATTTAAATTCATAATGCAGGAACCATCCATTATAGTAATACATCTTGGTGTTGCTAATACAAATGACAATCAGGTGATATCGGACAAATTTAGGGGAAGAATGGGCAAGCTGTAATGCAAGGTGCCACCCACATTCTTGCAAAGTTGGTGGGCCTACTGAATTTCAGATTTCCCTTAATGAATATTATATTAAATTGATTTTACAGTAACTCCATCTTATTCAAACTATCGCATTATACTTAGCATTTCTAAGAAATAGGTAAAATTACATTGATGAGAAGTGGGATCACATCCACCGAGAAACTAGACTAATTTTTTGTTGTTGCAAAGCTTGCTCTTGGTAGCTTTTTATTCTAGGCATGGGTTATTTACTGTCATGGCCACTGGTATTTTGGTAATGATTTTATCTATCCATACTACCTATTGACTTGAACTTTAATTTTTTAGAAATTTCTCACTGCCACCATACTAATTAATGATCACAATTTCCTGTCCCATTTGAATTTGAGAAGTACATGGTAAAATGTCCACTACTGTATATATTGAAAACTATTCATGAAATAGCAGTCTTAGGCCAACCTTAGTTTATCCAATTATCAAAATTTCTCTCTTTGGCGAACCTCCCCACAGAAGCAAGCTTGTATAAATTTCCAGTGAACCATCACCCTGTTCAACAGCCCAGTAAGAAATCAAAACAAAAGCTCCACAGGAACATTTTCCTGTGTAGGGATACTTAGTCTTAATATTACCTTGCACAAGAATTCTTGTATGATTTTCTTGAGGGTTAAAAAGGTTTTCCAACACCAGCCCAGACCTTCCAACATTTTTCTCTGTACTCCAAAGCAAGTATATTTCCATGAATATCTTGTAATACAATTTCATTAAAAAAAATGGCAAAAATTTACTGCCTTAACTGTTGATACTGAATGAAAGTAACAGTTCTGTCATGTAAATGCTGCTCCAAAACTACCCTGACCATCAAAATTATATGACAGACAATTACAGAAAATGCAATAGATGCCACTTTAATCTGTGCCATTACTTCTCCCTCTTGAACACACTGTAGCCTGCAACCTCTACCATATTCAAGATGAGTAGATATCAGTGAACCTGTAAATAAATATATAACACAAAAATGTTTAATTCATTGTGAAACCTCCTTGTCAGGGGCAGATTTTAGGGAAGAATAAGTTTCTTTTATGAGAAAGCGTAAGAGACAAACAATATCCCTTGCCTGTTTTTAGTGCCTGGAGATGGAAATGTTAAACCTCTTTTATTGGTATGATTATAAATATTCATATAATAAATTAGGAAAAATCAGGCAAATAAATTGATATTTATTACAACTATCATATTTTACATTTGTTTCAAAGCCCATGTTAATGCGTTAACCGAACACATAATAACATCATAAATAATTGATGGACTCAAGATGACATAACAAGGCCATTTAGATTTTCTAGTACTGGTCACTTTAATGCAACATATTACACTGTCTGGAACTTCACTCTCAAATAAAAAAAAAAAAAACTATGAAAAAATATTCCAGTAGTTTTAAAAAACCTTTTATATATCAAATAATAGTTTGCATTCCCCATCCAGCCTAAAATAAATATATGATTAACAATAACTGTATTTATTTATATTTAATATAATTTATTTCCAGTAACTATTTGCAACTCTGTATTTTAAAAGAAGAAGGAAAAAGAAAAAATGATTGATGCATGGCTTATGAGACAATGGCCCACAGTCAGAGAAAGATGAAAACAATGAAATTAAAATCTTAATGAGAATGTAATAATAATATAAATTTGCACAAAAGCACAAATAACAACAATTTAATAGCACAAAATATTAACAAATATTATTATAATAAAAATTCTTTAGGTTTAGTAAAAAAAACTACTTGATAATCTTAGCAGTGTTTTAGAGCTTCTGCCACTCAATTGTACATTATATTCAAAACCCAAATATAGAATCCAAATGACAAAAAATAACAATGGTAGGAACAACTAATTCAAACTTTATGATGTAATATTTTCTAGTTCTCTCATTTAACAGCTGTTCTTCATCTGAATACCCACAAACAAAAAATGCCTAGTACAATTCAAAAGATTAAAGTAATATGCTTTATGAACATTGATAATAATAAAATTTTGTACCAATAACTTATAAATCATATAAATTCCTTATGATTAGCAATACTTTCACAAAAGAGTAT